TGGAAGCATGACCAGACACCCGACTTTGTGGAATTCATGAAGGAAAACTATCCACCAAACTTTGAGTATCAAGACTTTGCTCCAATGTTCAGGGCGGAGTTCTTTGATCCTGATGCATGGGCTGACCTTTTGACAAAGTCTGGTGCAAGGTGAGTTCTTGTAAAGGAGTTATATTGTAACACTAGTCAGCTTTGATGAGTGATTGAGCTCTGAATTGCAGTTTTTTTTTCATGTCTGTTATGCTGGTACATGTAGGCTTGAGTGGTTAGTGGTTGCCTTTTGTCTTCCCTTTTATTCTCACGTGGTGATTTAGTCTGCATGCTTGCTCCTTTAGAAAAGACTTGGCTCATAGCAGTCTCAAGCTTCATTTTGTACTCAATAATAGCTGTCTGCCCAGTGATTTCTTTCGCGATGAGGTTTGCATGTGTAGTTCAATGGTCCCTATAGCTACATACGTGTAGTATATACAGTGTATGTAGGCAGGGACTCTGGTCTCTGGTTAAGGCTCAACCTTGTCGAATTGTCAAAGGGTAGAGATTGACCTCCCCTGGCTCCTGTAGGGGGCTAATCCCCCCATCGTGTAAAGTATAGCATAATCACAGAACCTCAAGACCCTGTTTCCCAGTTTGGGAAATGGAGCAGACGATGATGACAGAAATGTCCAGCATTGCAGCAATGTTTTCTTTGGGAGGTAAATAGTTGACTCACAGAACTTAAATTATTGTAGTCCAGTGCTAATCTTATTAACAAACATTTTTCTTCTCACTATTTCAATGTTTAACTTGGATTTTATTGCTCAGACATTTGAATTATCTTTTAGATATTATGTCCTGACCAGTAAACATCATGAAGGATGGACAAATTGGAGATCAAATGTATCATGGAACTGGAACTCTGTTGACAATGGACCTCACAGGGATCTTGTGGGTAGGGACAGTTATTTAATATTTTGTAGTGATTTGTATTTGTATTAATTTGCATAAAAGGTAAAATTGGTCCCAATCCAGTGAATTCAAGGAGACAGAATTGACTTGTAGTAGTACACTGTACCTGGCACATCATTCTTGCTTGTCCAACACTCCACGCAAATGTGAAGTGTCCTGCTGTAACCAGTCTGTTCTTTAATTTCCAGGGGAGCTAGCAACTGCCATTAGAAGTAAAACCAACATCACTTTTGGATTGTATCATTCCCTCTTTGAATGGTTCCATCCTCTCTATTTGAAGGATCGTGCCAATAACTTTGAGACAAAGGAGTATGTTAAGGTATGCCATCCAAAAGTGTTAAGATATTGATATCGAGTAACTTGATTGTGCAGGACGACAAGGCATTTAGTTTTCCACACTTTTCTGTTTTTCATTCAAGTACCACTTGAATTAACATTTAGTAGGGAAGGATGAAGTTTGCAAGGATATTCTTGCTGACCCTTAAAAATCCCACTTAACTGATTCATACAACTGTCAGTATTTAAAGAATTTAAATATTTCATGTCAGGAAGTTCTTATGCCAGAACTGTATGACCTGATCAACACATATAAACCTGAATACTTGTGGTCCGATGGTTGCAAAGGACCTGACACGTACTGGGGAAGCAGGGAATTTCTTGCATGGCTTTATAATGAAAGGTAAATATGACACTTGGTGATACACGTAGGTCAACATAACTTTGTTTTGGGCTTTTCTTTGATTTTTAATAATTACTCTATAAATCAATATAGTTGGGGATAATGTTACCTAGTTATACGCATGCAGTGTAGGCCTACAATTTTTGTTAAATTGCGCTACAATCATCTCTTCACAATAATTTCTTAAAAATAGCATACATTAAAACTGAAATGCCGATTGAAAGTTAACATGTACCCTGAACTGCTTTTATTAATTTTGTTCAAAGTCTATGAAAGTACACTTTTCCAGGCAAGAAGAAACTTTCAGTGTTTCTGTATTTTTTCAACGAATAACAGTAATGTTCTGATTCCTCTCTCACTGATTTTTTTTTTGTCACATGTTAAGCCCTGTTAAAGACACTATTGTGACAAATGATCGTTGGTGTGACAATGGATGCCGCTGCCATCATGGTGGTGTACTCACTTGCGGTGATCGTTACAATCCAGGTGAGTCATAGTGATTTGAGTTTTGGGCATGCACCCCACAAGAGGTATTAAATTTTGTTGACTTTTCGACCTAATGTATATTCTTTAATAAGGCTCTATGTATAGCCAAACAATAGTTATTCCATGAGTGCACATTGGATATGAGATTATAGATAACCAACAAGGCACATAGTGTCAAGTTGGCTATAATGATCTCATATCCAACAAGCGCAAGTGGAATAATATTGTTTTATTTAAAACGCCCCCAAAATATAGAAAACTAAACTAAAAAATTTAAACACCCAAAAAAATCATAGGTATGCATGGCATATTTGTAGAGCATTGTATAATAGCTCATTACCCATTATGGCTAAGCCAAACTCTCAAATTGTATCATCCAATGATCCAGTTTTTAATAACCTGTATTATACTCTGTGGATATGGATAGTTTCTGGATAGTTTCTGGAAACACACAATTTAGAGTTTCTAATAATTAGAAATTAATTAATTAATTATTAATCTTGAGGCTAAATTAACCAGTGAACCTAATCTTTAGTTAAACCATTTGTAACTTAATCGGAAACAAACATTTCAATTTTTTTGTTGGGTTCATCCCACCTATGCTTTCACCAAGTAAATTAAAAGGCAAATTTCTGACATACACTAATCACCATTCAAATCAGTTGAGTTAGCAAAATTAATGATGATTACATTATATTGGGGTCATTTGCTGTACTGTTCAGTTTCATTGGAAGAACTGGGTGTGAGAGATTAGTGAGATTGACATCACACTTGGGAAGTAAGCATGGATGACCTTTCAGATTATTCCTAAGAAAGCCAAATATTTTTCGTGGAGCCTTCCTGAAGAAATGGTGTTCATTTTCCCGCTTTAGCTGTGGCTCATCAAGAGACAGCTCTGGGCAGACCCAATACTTAAACTGTTAGCTGTCCAATACATTATTATCACTTCAATCTCAGTAGGTTAGTTCAGTGGGAATGTATAGTGGCCTAAAGGTTCTGGCCAGGGTCACTACATTGTGTTTGTGGGCAGTTGCTCTCAGTGCCTCTTTCCACCCAGGTGTATAAATAGATACAGCCAGTAATAGACTAGTCTCCTCCACAGCCATTTTTTGGGATGTCACGCTACGCTCTGCTTGACATCCCAAAAAATGGCTGCAGAGGAGACTAGTAATAGACATTCTTGTAACATAATGCTACTAACACGTCATTTTTCCACAGGTAAACTTCAGAATCACAAATGGGAGAATGCACTAACAGTGGATAAGGGTTCCTGGGGCTACAGACGTAACATAGACATTAACTCATATTTGACCATCAATAAACTGTTATATCAACTGGCTTCTACTGTAAGGTGAGGATCCTTACTGGATTTCTTAGAACGAAAACTGACAATAGAAAGCATGAATGGTTATTTATTGTTCTTGTGGTTGATACTTTAAAGGATAACAGTTAAAAGCCGATAATAATTTTAGGTATATTTAGCCAAAGTTAAGAAATGTTTTCCCTTTGGAAGGCAACATGAATGGGACCATGGTCTATCAGCAAATAACCAATGCCAAGAGAGCCAATCAAATTCTTGGATTCACATAAGCTATGATGGCATATAGATAGAATGACAACTTTTTGGTTTCTCTCCAGCTGGGTTTTGTAACACATGTACATAATTTCATTTGGAGTTCTTCAAATGTTTTTATTACTTTCCTTTTGTTAGCTGTGGTGGTAACATGTTGTTGAATGTTGGCCCGACAGCAGACGGCCGCATCATGCCTGCATTTGAGGAACGTCTGCTGCAGATGGGAGAGTGGCTGTCTGTGAATGGTGAAGCTATTTACAGCACCAAACCTTGGAGAGCTCAAAAGGACACTGATAAGAAAATTGTCTGGTAGGTTGTATGGAGTAAACTTCAGTTTTTGACGGTTTGTTTTGACAGCGCAGGATTTTAAATCCAGGACATTAAGGTAAAACTTTTCTTTATTTTTGAACTTTAATTCTCTTTTTTATTAAAA